TTAAAAAATGCATTTGTCATCATTAAAACATAAGTTCTAACAACTATCGATAATTGCAAGAACTTTGCAAGGGCTTTGATAGTTTTTTATCCTCAGCTTTTCAATAAAGTTTGCAATGATCACATTGTTTTCTTTTAGACATTTATCAATAAGTTTTTTTTAATAAAATGGTTTATCAAAAAAGAACTTCAAGTTTTCATTTATTTTTAGTTTCATCTCATTGAACAATTATGGATAAGATTATCGATAATGTTAGTTATCGAGTTCTTTGTCGATAATCAGTCATTCAGTTATGATATTTGATTTTTAAGCTAACTGAGATTTGCTTGTTTGAAGTTTATCTATTGCTCATTATTTGTCTATTCCTATTATTATAACTTACTAATGATATTCTTAAGCAAGGTTTATGCAGGATGAATTGTGTCACATTCAGCAATAGGGTAATTAGGAATAAGGAATATTCTTAAATAATTAAGGGTCAAAACATACGTACACCAAGTAATGTCAGTCTAACTGCTATGGTTAGCTGTACCAAAATACATCCTATGTTAGTGATAGGAGGGTCCTAGTCATCTAAAGAAAATGAACAATAAGAAAGCCCTTAAGGCTTCGGATCCAATCCTCCACATCACTCCCAAGTATGTAGTTCAGGCAGACAATCTCATGTGTCCAGAAAGGGGTGTCAAGTAGAACCTCTACCATCACTCTTAGCCAATCAAAAGTTTCCAGGTAAGGGTTGCCTGGTCCATGGGCTCGGTACAGTTCTCTCACGACCTGGGGGTAATCTAGCTGTACTCTTAGGTCTACGTCCACATTCTTCCTAATGTGATGCCCTAAAAACCTCCGTCTATCACTCAGCTAACCCACACTACTGATCTCATGACTAGGCAGAGCTGGGACAGGTATGACTGGTACTACAGGTGCCACGAGTGTTAAGGGGCTGGGGGTATAACTAGTCCGGTACTGGGTTCAGGAATGTTGCTTGGATGCATATCTGGGATAACAGGGTGTCTGATAGACTGAATGTAAAGGCTAAGGTCCAATGGTTCTTGGTACAAGCTAGTTACGGGATCTACTAGGTCACTAGGTCCAGGAAGGTATAGTAACTGTTTCATAAAAATCCCTAGCAGCTCAGGATAGTGCTCGGCATGATCGTTAGAGCTCACTAACAAATAGCCTGGGCTAGCATCTCCCATAGTCCATTCCACCGGATCCTTCTCTTTGGTGAGATTGATTATGTTAATATCCCAATCATTGACTGATGGCTCAGATCTAGGATCCTAATTCATTATGTCTTCCATCTCGATTCCTATAAAAATTTGTCAGTTCCTCCTCAACCAACCCCATTATCTAACGAATAAACTTAAGTAGAGCGTTCTATCCTATGCCAGAACCTTTGCTCTAATATAAAAAATGTTACATCTTACTATCGGATCAACTTAGGGTTGAATCAAAACCATTTTACACCACATTGGATGGTCTTGGGCTTAATTTTTTTTTTACAAAAACACTGATTTTCGGAATTTTATTGTTCATTTGGTAAAAATCCAGTTTTTTTGTTCAACTTCAAAAAAATCATAACTTAATTTAGAAAAATCAAAATGAAGTGGTTCAAAATTCTATGAAAATATAGTTGAATTCTATTTCAAGAGAAAATAAATTTGTGAACCAATTTCATTTGAAAAAGCGTCAGGTTTTTGTGGAAGTCACCACTATCCTTTTGGTAAAAATCCTTTTTTCAGATTCTAGACCTTAATTTTGAAAAATCATTATAAATCGTGTAGTTAGCCATTTTTAACGTGGTACCTATCAAATTGAAGATTAGGACGTGATCTATAACTATACCAAATTTTGTGATCTAATACGTCTGGGAACCTAGTCAAAACGTCACTCCAAGTTGGTAGTATAGTTAGGGTTACAGTATTGAACAACATAATAATTACATAACCAAAAGCCAATGAAATTTTTATGGTTTGGCACCATAATTAACCTTAAATCTGCAGCTTGCCCTTTCATGATTCAGCTCCTAAAAGGTTAGATTTTATTTGGAAGAAATGAGATTTCGATGAAATCCCAATAATAAAATTAACCAACTATATCATCAACAAGCATCATTATTATGAATAACCATATTAGCTACTATTAGTGAACTAGCATTCTCATAATTGGGCAATCTCAATCATGCAAAGGCCAAAGCAATAAAGTGCAAAGAGTAGCCACATCACAATTAGCAAAGCTCATCCACATATTAGCAATTAATCATGCAATAATCAACAATGCAAAGTTAATGTTAGTAGTTAAGTTAAACTTTGCTGCCTTGCTCGAAAGACTTGTGCTTTCTTTGTTTCTCTTCCTTCCCTTCACAAATGTCAAACCCTAACATAATAAACCATAAAAAGGGAAGCAAGATCATCAACCATTTCATATAAAAATCAACAACATAACTCAAGTAATTCTTAAACCCTTTTAAAGCTTCCATCTTTGTTCTTGAATTTTTAGAGTTTGTTTCTTTAACCCTAAAAATTCCCTCTTGATTCATTCCTACATGGTTTTTCATGTAGATTCTAAATATGTGCTTAGATTTAAGAAAATAAAACCCCTCCTTCCAAATTCCACTTGACCAAACCTATATGGTTTATTAACCAAAAATTACAACTTTAATTCTAATGCTTCCAACACTTTTTCTTTAGGTTTATCCTACGTCATTTTCCATTTTGAACACAATGGAAGCCTCAAAATATTAAAAAACTCATCCTAGGGTCCAGTCATTATGTTGGCTGAACTGGTCCTTAAGAAATACAACAAGGAAATCTCTTCAAAAACAACCTACAACTACTTGAAACCACTTGGAATAACCATGCTTTGAAGTGTTCTAACAAGTTTGAACAACAAAACTTCCTCCCCTACATAATATATGTTTCGACTAGCATCCAAGAAGAAAATAAACTAGGATTTTCAACCATATAACTCAAGCAAACAAGGTAAGGAACAACTTATAACCAAAAACTAACCTTGAATCTTGGTTGGATGATCAAAGTTGATGGCTTTTTCTCTTGATTCCACTTAAAACTCTCTCCTTTCCCTCTTGCTCTCACTTTGGCCAAACCAATATCTGAAATTAGGGGGAGCAAGAGCCTTCTTTAATGAGCAAAATATCTCAACTACCATAATTAATGGAAGTCAAAGTGTCAATCCTCTCTTTACTCTTGCATTTTCCCTCTTAATTAACTAAATCCAATTGAAATTAATTACCAAAAGTCAAAATTCTCTCCATTTGAGGTGTGACACTTGGCAAATTCAAATCCTCTCTATTAGGGACTTGACACATGGCAAAATGTGAGCAAATTTGAAGTGCAAGACTCTAGTCTTCACTTTATCGGTGCACTTTGACTCCTGGTTTAATTTCTTTTCTATAATTACAGTACTCTGGCCTTTGTAATTATTTTTTGTTAGATCCATAATTTATTCTCCTTATTTTTATCTTTCCAAAATGCCTTTTTTGTCTCAAAATTAAATTCCCAATAATTAAATAAAAAGGAAAACTAATTTCCTTCTCTTTAGTGACTTTTCCATTTTTCAAAGAAATTAGAAAAAATCTTGGATATTTGAGGGTCTCTTTTTAATTCCATAATCTCTTATAATTCCTTAGGGTATCATAGGAATTTTCTTGGAATTTTATTCTCCTTAAAAATATTTATTTGGAATTTTCCAAATAGAAACCCTTAAATTAGCCTAAATTACCCTTAAATTCTTTTGTAATTTTTCTAAGAGTAATTTGGTCATAAAACCAATTGTATAATCTCATATAATTCTCATCGTTATTTTTTCTTAATTTTTTGAAGCTTAGAAATATTTTTCCACAATTATTTTTGACCAATTTTTTTAATTAGTCAAATTTTCATAATTGACTTGGGAAATCATAATAATTATTTTCCACCAAAATTCTTCTATTTCTCCTTATTATTTTTTTCCCTTAATTATTTAGAAATATTTCTTATTCCTAATGACCCTATTGCCGGATGTGACAAATTGCTCAATGAAAAAATGATAATGGTTAGCCACTTTATGTCAGAAGCTTCTAATGGCTAGTTTCGGCGATCATTTTCTTTGCTAAACGAGAAGAAGATGCTCAATGGTCAAATGTCCAATATTAATTATAAATATAAACAACATTCAAAGTTAGAGTAATGAAGAGAGCTTGAGCTTATAACATCAAAGTACTAAAATGCCAAATCAACATATGTTTATTTAGAGCTCCAAGAAAATACTCTCTTTTCTTGTGTTCCAGAGATTATGCACATGTAATTGTGAAATAGAAAGGGGAGTTTTCTATGTGCTTAAGAGTCAGTTATCACTTCTTTGAGAGAAGAAATATTTGAGTTTCATTCTCGTCATCATGTTGTAACCTTCTAGTGTGTAAAGGGGAGTGAATCCTTACGGGCACAAGGAGGAGTGCTTATCTCAATGTGAGGTTGTTATTGAATAGATTGATTAGTTTATGCCTTATAGTATTCCTCAAGTACCTAGTTTAGACTTGAGAGAGATAATGGATTAAAAATCTTAGACGGAGCTTGGGGAATGGACGTAGGTCTATGGAGAGACCTAACTAGGGTAAATCATAGTTTGCATCTTTTCTTCCCATACCTCTTTATATTTCCAACTAAACTATTGTACTTCTCTGATTAAGCTTTTGTTCTAAACTATTGTACTTCTCTAATTAAGCTTTTGTTGTTCATTACTTTTATACTTTGAGTTTCTTATGATTTTCATTAGACTGTGAAAATGTTTTTGTTTTTAATCAATACATACTTCACCCCCTCTTGGGTCATCAGCTATTCTAACAAATTAGTGTTATGGCAATGTTGATATTTCGTTAATGGCCTTAACAATGTTGTTACCTTCTATTTAATAATTGTTAATGGTTATATGAATGTTGATATGCAACTTTTCTTTTTTTCAATTTAGAAAAAAACATGTTCTTAATATTTACTACTGATTTGTCATTTAAGAGGACAATAAAGAGAGGAGACAACTGCCCCTAAGTCAACTTTGCCATCATGCTTAAGCCTTCTCTTGGTGGTACACAACTCCTTCAAAAACTTCGCATACTTAGGCACTTGTGCAACCAGATCAACCAATGGAACATTGATCACCACCTTTTTGAAGATATCATAAACCTCTTTGAACATCTCAGCTTCTTTCTTTCTCCTTTCAGCCTTAATCACCCCTGTAGGAAAAGGTAAGACTTGCTCGCTCACTTTCTTCCCTTCCCCATCTTTCTCTTGCTCTTCTTGCAATGCCACATGTGGTGTTGATAAAGTGGACTTATTATGCGATGTGGAAGCAGGGGGAGAATCTTCAATGATAGCTTCCTTGTTCGTTGAAGCATGGGTAGTGACAGGACCTGCAGAGGTAATTGAATTTCCGCTTCTAAGAGATATAGCATTAATTCCACCGATGTTAGGATTCTGCTGGGTGCCAACATTAGGGTTAACTACTACTTGAGATGGCAACTTCCCTGAGCCTTGACTTTGCATGTTACTAAATGCATTAGATAACTGCCCAATTTGAGTTTGAAGATTCTGAATTTCTTGGCTATGTTGCAAATCCTTTTGTTCAAAATTATCCATCAGGATTTTCATCATGCCTTCTAACTTTGAACTCTCATCTTGATTGGGCATAGTTTGCCTAACTTGTTGGAACATTTTACCACCAGAAGAGTTTATGCCTTGATTGAACTGTGATTGTTGAGGCTGGCCACTCCCATATATGAGATTTGGATGGTCACGCCATCCAGGGTTGTATGTATTTGAGTAAGGATCATATTTCTGGCCACCTTGAGTCATAGGCTTAGTGTGGTATACTGCATTACATGAGTCAACTCCATCATTTAGGTAGGGGCAAGAGTCAGTGGTGTGAGTAGCTAGAGAGCAAATAGAGCAAAGTGGCCCAATTAGAGCTGTAGAGTCAGCTTGTGGGATGAAAGCAGAGGGAGATCCCACAGAAGGAGCCATATTTTGGGAGTTTTTCATTTGAAATACAACCATTTTCTCCATAGCAGATGTTAACTTATCAATTTTACTCTCAAGGCGAGACTCAGAATACGATGAATGCAATCCAACTTCATTTACTCTAGCTTGCTGCCTAGTACCAAACTGTTGGGTATTTTCAGCTTTCTTTTCAATCAATCTCCAAGCAGCTTCAACAGTCAAGTCAAGAAGAGCACCTCCAGAAGCAGAATCTAGTAAATCTCTCTCAAGGGGCAAGAGCCCTTCATGAAAATAATGAATCAACAATGTATCTGAAATTTGGTGGTGAGGACAACTGGATAACAATGCCTTAAAGCGCTCGTAATACTCATATAAGGATTCCCAAGACATTTGTCGGCAACCACAAATATCCTTCCTGATGGAGGAAGTACGAGATGCTGGGAAATACTTTTCCAAAAACAACCTTTTCAGCTGGTCCCATGAAGTAATGAATCTAGGAGGTAAGCGAAGAAGCCAATTCTTTGCAGAACTTTCCAAAGAAAATGGGAAGGCACGCATCTTAATCTGATCCTCAGACACACCAGAAGGCTTCATAGCAGTACAGATCATATGAAAAGTCTTCAAGTGATTGTATAGATCCTCGCTTGCAAGACCATTAAATTTTGGAAGTAAGTGAATCAATCCAGACTTTAACTCAAAATCAGTGTCAATATCAGGATAATTAATGCACCAATTTTGAAAATGCAGATCAGGTGAAACCAATTCCTTGATAGTCCTAGCAGGATTAGCCATGCTACTGTCAACATGAGAAGAGTAAGGAGAATTAGAGGAATCAGTAGTTAACTTAACAGAAGAATCACTTTCTATAAGATTGCTAGCTTGAGCCCTCCTTCTTTGATGAAAAGTCCTCTCAATCTCAGGATCAAATTCAAACAATTCCTTGCTATAGGATCTAGTCATGCATTAAGCAACTATCACAAATCAAAGTGAAAAAAAAATTTTTCACCAAAAAAAAAATGCAGAGGAAATATGCAGAATCACCTAGAACTCAAACCTAAAGTCTAACCATTGCTCCCCGGCAACGGCGCCAAAATTGATGATGCTTTTTGTCGTTAAAGCACTCAATTAAACTAGGTCCTAATTGATTTGTAGTTTAGGATCGACCTAGGTCATTACTTCCAAGGAGCAATTTATGGGTTTCTTTAGGTAAAAATTTAGGTGATAAAAAAAATGCAATAAATTGGACCTAAACTAAAATGTAAAATTCTAATCCTAAATGGAAAATGCAAATGTCCTAAAATCTATATGAAAATTAAATTAAATTAAATAAATGCAATGCAATTTTTGGGGGTTTTTTTTTTGAAGGAAAATAAAAATAATGAATAAAGAAAACTAATCAGAAAGCAAAGAAAATTAAGAAGTAAAAATTTAGAGATTTCTCTTCAGGTACGGTAGAGGGGACAACTTAGGATTTGCATGGATTTAACCTACATAACCTTAATCAGTTAATTAAACCAAAGGGAAGTGATAAGAGAGTGGAATTAATAAACTTAATTACCTACTTGAAATAAAGGGAACCCTTAATCTCAAAAACCCTTAAACCATTAGAGAACTCATAACAGTATAAGGTTGGTCAATTAAGCTTATCAAAACCAATGAAGATATCTCAATTTAATTTTGGAAATTATGTTTCAAATTATCCAATTAAACAATCAGATAATCAACCAACTTAATTAAACAATTAAGAGGTGAAAGAACCCAAATTTTGCAATTCAAACCACATTGATAATTAAACTCATAATGAAAACTCAATTATAAATTCAATTAACAATGCAAAGGTTCCAAACATATATTCCAACAAGTGTCTCAACACAAATAAAATCCAAATATCAATTCAATCCAAGAATAAAATTGATAATCTAGAACTAAATTGTCTCAACAGAAATACAACTTAAAATCATTTAAAACTAAATAATTTTAAGTCCTTGAATTAAAAAGATGAATGGAACATCACTCCCTTGTGGTCTTCAAGTGCTAGCCTAAGGCTCAAGTCTCCTCCATGCTCCTCCCAAGTTGCCTCCCAAATAAGCTTAAGCTTCCATGGTATTATCTCCTCCCTCCACACTGTTGGGAATCACGGCCACCATAGTTAATGAAGAATGGATAATGAAATGCTGAATTTATGTGGGACGTGGAATGGAGGAGTTGGTGATGATGATTGAATGGGGTTTTTGTGCGTAGGGAAGGGATATGAATGTTTGATTGAAATCGTAGTGTCCCGCGGCTGAATGGAGAAGGAGAAAGTGATTGAATGTGATGATGGAATATGGTGCAATCCGTGCGTCCTCAATGGAGAATGGAAAGGAGGTATGATTTGGCATGAATATCTCCTCCAAAAATAAGGAAAATAGTATGAGGGAGAAGGAAATTTTTATGGATCCAAAACTCAAACCCATTAGTAATTAATTGACCCACTTGATATTAGCCATTGGATTGTACTTAGATTCCAAGAAACAATCTTACACCATTGGATTTCCTATGTGCCCCTTTCTTGACCTACAAGAATTTAAGTGCATCCATGTAGATTATATCCAAATATAATCAAAAATTAAATATTAAATCTGCACAAAAATTAGGCAAGAAAGTGCAAAACTTTCTAAAAATATGAGACTTGTTTTCAAAGAAATAGGAAAAATTAATTCCAAGTCAAAAATAGGAAATCAGAAAATATTTATATTTTTAATCCAAAATCTCAATTTTTATACCAAATCCAAAAATCAACCAATTAATCTGATAATGCATAAAAAGTTCATTTAAGCTCAAAATTATCATTTAAATCCTAAATTAATGTGGGATAAAATATATAAAATTTAGGCTTTATCAAGGTTCTTCTATACTCTTCTTGATTACTCTAGATTCTTCTAGATGGTTCTAGATTTTTCTAACAACTTGAACAAATCCTTTCATGCCCATTCATCAACTTGACATTAAAATAGGGAGGAAATAAATGGAAAATTCGTCTAAAAATATTTTCTTAATTATTTCTCCACTTATCAAGCCAATCTTGCACCGTATCAGATATTTTTCGGGTCCTAACTTACCCTGTATCACCGGGACAACTTCTTAAAATTCTGGCTAATAAAAGGTACATATATGACACCATCTCAAAGGAGCATAGATGAAAATAATTAGCTTTGCTGACAGGCTACTTGACCTTACTGAGTCACGCAGTAGAGATTTCACTATAACGGGTAGACAAAGGACTGTCTAAAATATTCCCATACTGCGTTCTGATTTTTATGCTGTCCATAAATATCTTCTACTGACTCAACATGATGACTCGTAGGTGTCATGATTACGCCTGGTGACTCAGCATGATGACTCGTAGGTGTCATCATTACGTTTGGCGACTCAGCATGCTGACTCAGCATCGTCATGATGGCCCTTAGATATTTTCTTTGGTTTTGTCTCCTATTTAGGGGACAAAATTATTTAATATTTGACTGGACCATTTTATTCAATCCAGAGCTCTAAAAATTCATCCAAAAATATCATAAAATTCCTCATATTCTAGAGAAAATCTGTGAATTTTCTCAAGTCATAACTCAACCTGTAGCCCCACTTAAAAATCATTCTTTAAAATGCCTTTTTTTGGCATAACTAGATTTTAAGTATTCTTAAAGCCATTTTGCTGGTCTTCTGGGGATGAGACTAATTTTATAATTTTCTAAAGTCTCTTAGATCATACATCCCATTTTACCATAATTTTCTGAGGTTTTCTTATGACTCAAACAATTAAATCTACCTCTACATCTCAAACTGAGCCATAAACTTATAAATTCCTTTTAAGTTATCTCAGGGGTATTTTTGTCATCTCTCTTCACAAAAGAGCCTTAGAATATTATTTCCCATTTTCTGGGATTTTCTTAGAATTTTCTAAGTACTTTCCATTTTTATCCCAGATGGCTGTAACTTTATGAATTTACGGTTTTATCCCTGCTTAGGCTCAACCTCATAAAACCATCTCTTTGAGGCTTCTAACTTAACCTTTGGTTTGTATCTAGTCTCTTTTTTCTTTCTAGGCCTTTGAGACTTTACTGGAGTCTCTAACTTTGATTATCCTTTAGCCCCTTAAAACTTTCACTTTGCAGTTTAGTCCCTGAAACTGCTTTAACTTCCTTTCTCATCTTTAGGACCTCTACTAAAAAGGGGTCTGGTAGCCTATCCCATTCAGACTATTTCTAGTACTTCGAGGCCCAAAAATTGGGATGTTACACATGGAGCATGCTAGTTGTTTATGGAAACCCTGATGCTCTAAAGAGAAGGAGTCTATGGAATCATCTCTTAAGTATTGCGAAGAATAAACCCAGGAGATGGGGTGTGTATGTGTATAGGGTGACTTTAACGCCACCCTAAGACTTAAAGAGAGAATGTTGATGTCTCAGCAAAAAGTCCTAGTAGACAAATTATTTCAAAAATAGGTCTCTGATTATGGCATGATAGACCTACATTTTAGTAGGTGAAATATCCTTCCTTAAACTCCTTTGAGTATGAGTCTAAAAGTATTATGATGCAAGAGGATCATAAAATAAGCTTAGAGATTGGAAATTCAAAATTTAATTATTAGGTTACTATTCACTAGTAAATTTCATATTTTCAGTCTAATTTTAAAAATTCATAACTAATTATAACAAACTTATATTAAGGTGGTCTAGATCTCCATTTAAAGCTCTTTCAATTCTCTATAGAAAAAAAATATAAATCTATGATTAGACCTTCTCTGTTTGTACAATTAATTCATGGAATTTGACTGTTTATTTAGTAAAAATAGTACTTTCTAGTTTATTTGCTTTAACTTTAAGCAATCATATCTCTTAGCACACACATCCATTTTAAGTGATCTACCACTTTTTTTAAAGCTCAGGATGTTTATTTTAAGTGTACCAAATATCATGGGCAGATTCAATTGCTTGCCTTACTTCACTCTATATCAAATTAGTGACTCATTTTGGGATAATTTATTCTCCTTACTTGCATTAATAATGCATAAATATTTATTTCTTTGCATTCAATCATTCTAATATTGTATAATTTATTCTCATGCATTAACACATTAGTACAAAAAACACAATAATTGACAGTTATTTTTGCTTATACTTGACAGTTAAAAATCATCAAGTATGCTTGCATTATATATTTGAATGGAAAATATTTGACGGTTATTAATCGTCAAATATTTTGGGTAATACTTGACGGTTCTAAATGTAAAACCGTCAAGTATTGACGACTAATTTTGCAATTAATGGCATCAATTACTTGATGGTTACTTAAAGAACCATTAAGTATTCTAAAAATTCTTGAGGGTTGCTTAAAGAACCGTCAAGTATTGTTTAAATACTTGACGGTTTTAAGCCAATAACCTTTTAATAGTGTTCCTGCTTTTCTAGCAGCCTCCCTGCATTATGAAATTTCACAGAAAGTAGCATTATTCGATAAATAGAACTAGGCCAGTAGTCAAACCAATATACAACAATCAATAATTTAGTCATATGAATCTAATTAACCATCAGACAGAAATTTACATTATATATATCTTAATAATAAACCAAATGTCATACAATATGTGGTCTTAAGCCAAATCAAAATTTTGGACAAGTATAAAAGGTAAAAGCAAAAAACCAACCAAAATCAAAATTGGCCAATTGCTAAAAACCACAACAAATTTGTTCAATACCAAAACCAATAGCATAATATCAAAACCAAAGTAGTCTTCTACTTCTTTATCTATTTTTTGCCCACTAATGGTACAAAGCCATTACAGCTCTTCAACGATTTCTTCTATTTGAGCGGATGAATACATCGTGCAATATATGTTTGCAAAGTACTATATGCAAAAGCAAATTGAAGTTAGATATAAATGTATATCTACACTAAGTATAATTCTAAATTATATAAATTAA